ATTAGCAGACTTGTAGTAGTACTTTCAACGTTGATTAATGATATATCATCATCTCTTGTCTGGACTTTATCGTTAATATTTTGAGTAATATTAAATACTAGAATATAGATACCATTCCCCGATAGAAACGGGTACTGAGTAGCGTAATATATAGAATGGTTACCGAAATCCCATATTTTAGCATATTGACTATTGCCTATAATATCTTCATTTTTTTTTAGGACAGACGAAAAATAATGCAGAAAGACATCTTGGCGTTATTGCAAGTCTAACAAACTGTGAGGAGATGTTGTAGAAGTATCTGATGATTCAAACGCTGAGGTACTGGCAGTATCTAGCTTCATATCAGCTAGACATGAACTATCAATATTTACTGACGGATATCCTACCTTTGATTGAGAATCTGCTGAGGTTGTAACCGATGGTGTTGAATTGTCTCTTGAGTGTTAACTAACGATGCAATAATCGCCTTAATATTAGCATCCAAAATGTGACTAAGATCATATAATCTGCGATCATAAATGCCATAAACTTCAAGATCGACCATTATATCAGACTCATCAACAGTTTGCGTTGAAGATTGATGGTTTACAAGGTCTTGTTGAGTAAATAACTTCATAATGGATGATTTACCGACGTAGCAAGGACCGGCATACATAGCACGTATTAGGTTATTTCGGTAACTTCCTTGTTCTAATGCTTTCATGTATGTGTTAAAATACTGCTTTTTTCTCATAGCTATAAAATAGTAAATTATATTATCTATCCATGAAATCAAAGCGGATTACTTGCAGGTATTCAAATCGTAACATTAGTGTATTTTATGGATAGCGATTAATCCATTAGATACCGTATCAATATTTACCGTTGTCACCTCTTCTTCGTTTACATCACGATCATTATCACTAGAACTTGGACCTTTCTCAGGTTGTAGTACTTGGTCTTGATGAATTCATAAGAATCAAATGTGTGAAATAATCCAATTTTATAGGCGATCAATAGTTATATAACATTGAAATATACAGAAATCTCTCAAGACGATTCATATGTAGATGCACTTTCTTGAATTTTTGAGCAATCTATCATAAAATAGCATCATACTCGCAAAATTTAAAGTGAAAACTGT